GAGATCAGAGGAGGTTTGTAAACAGACGACTTCATCCTTTTCTCGAAACGTGTCATTTTGAGACGTTAAGGAACAAAGTGTCTGTGGTCAGAAATGTGCAGGATTCTTATGTTTGTTTGAGTTTATCACCGTCAAAAACCACATCATGTCTCACACGGCAACAAGTGACGCAACATGAGGGGGTTAGAATGTTTTGTACGTACTGTATTATTACGTATCCATCTGACACCTCTGTCACTTTACCTGCTGATATAATTACTGATATATTCTGCTCATATTCTCCGCTTCTAAAGAACAATATCTGTAAACACTCCTGAAACAAGTGACATTACAGCTCCAGAGTTTATTTTATTTTATTCTTTATATTATTCTAATTATATATTCTATTATCGTAAATAATCGACTATTCGATGTGTGCGTCTGAGTCTTATTTCCGTCTTTCTCTGCTGTAATGTGCAACGATGACTCTGTGAGACGAATAAAGGAAAACCTTACATTTTCTTTTTTAACCTTTTTTTAAAGTGTTCATTAGAGAGACAAGAACATTTCTCGACAGTGTAAGGACACGAAATGCACATTAACATGCCAATATTGATCACATGAAATAAAATAAAATAAAACATATACATAACTTATACATACGTACTCAATACATAATCAACTAATTTTTTTTTGTTATGGTGATGGATGGGCTAAAGTTTGAGTAAATGAGTGTGTCACATGTTGGAACAAAGTTTGCCAAATAAAACCAAATGGCACTAGTTTATTATGGCACCAGGGGTCGGAGGGGGTCCGGTTCAGAGACCGGGCGAGACCTAGGACACACTGGAGGGACTATGTCTCTCAGCTGGCCTGGGAACGCCTTGGAGTCCCCCCGGACGAGCTGGAGGAGGTGTGTGTGGATAGGGAAGTCTGGGCGTCTCTGCTTAGACTGCTGCCCCTGCGACCCGGCAACGGATGAAGCGGAAGAAAATGGATGGATGGATGGCACTAGTTTATGTAAAAGTGAAACTGCATCAAAACTATAAAACTTAGATTCTGAAACTTTAGACACTTGTTGCAAACTAAAAAAGGACCTGAGTGTTTGAGTATTCTGAACTTACAATGAAGTTTGCCTTTGTTAGGGTTTTTATACATTTAATACTTTAGGCGAGGATAAAAAAACAGGATGCAGAGTGGAATATGAAGGACATGCATTATTCTAGTGTATATTTACATGAATTAAAGGGCTCTAGCTTTAAAATGATGCATCACACAAGTATATGACGTGTAAGCCCGCTCCCATCTCTGTGTGGAGTCAGAGACAAAGCCCACAATAGTAAACCGCTTTGTGACTCTGGTCACAAAGCGGTAACTTAGTTACTTAAGATGTATTTTTAAATATGCAAAGACTTTTGGGTAACTTTTTGTGCCAAAAACAGGTGGATGTTAACAGGTTAAAACCAGATTCTCCGATGGGACGAAGTAAAATGATCTTGTTTTAAAAGATACAGAAATATCTCCCTTGGAATGAGAAAAAAAGTAACAGTTCTTGAGGTAAAACCAAATGTCTTCGTCCTGTTGGAGAATCTTCAGACCTCACTCAGATTAAGATGATGATTATTACCTCATACTTTGTCATTTTTTGGAGTTTATCAACATTTATAAAATTTGGTCTCTGCCCCTTAAGGACCAACGTCTCTGTGTGTTTGAATCATTGCATTTCTTTGTGTTTGAACGTTTTGATTTTCAGCATGTTTGTAAAGTCCTCTGAGAAAACTGCTGTTGTGATTCAGGGCGATTCAAGAATACATTGAAGTGAGTTGACTTGATTTGCTGCAGTAACGCGGTGCTATGAAGGAGGAGAGGTTGAACATAAAACATTCAGACTGTAAAGTAAAGTTACAGAGACCTCCTTTATCCAGTCTGATTCCTCAACACGTTTATGGGGTGGAAATACATAAGATCAAATCAGACGGCGATGCTAAAAATATGGATAGAGTGTGGGTTGAAACAAATACATTCAGTTCTTAAAATAATAATGTTCAGTCGGTCTCCATGGTTTTTATTCTTGATTCTGTCTGATTCGTCGACTATTCTTCATTTTTGTCCAAAGTCACACTTGGGGAATAGTTGAATAGTGAAACACGTCTGTTGGTATGGATATAGGGTCTAGATTCCTGAAGTCTAGACAGATCTGAAGTCCATAGAAAAGGAATCCATTTCAGACACGGATGAGACACACGCCTCTGTGACCTCAGAACAAACACACAGGTCACCGCCGCCCATTACCATAACCCCATGGCACTGGGACCAGGGTAATGACTGGGACCAGGGAAGAGACCAGAGGATAGGCTGAGACCAGGGTAGAAACTGGGACCAGGGTAGAGACCAGAGTATAGGCTAGGACCAGGTTAGAGACTAGAGTATAGGCTGGGACCAGGGTGGAGACCAGAGTATAGGCTGGGACCAGGTTAGAGACCAGAGTATAGGCTGGGACCAGGTTAGGCTGGGACCAGGTTAGAGACCAGAGTATAGGCTGGGACCAGGTTAGGCTGGGACCAGGGTAGAGACCAGAGTATAGGCTGGGACCGGGGTAAAGACTGGGACCATAGAAATGACTGGGACCAGGGTATTGCATGGGACCAGGGTAGAGACCAGACTATAAAGAGGGACTACAGTAACGACTGGGACTAGATTAAAGACTAGGACCTGAGTAACGACTGGGACCAGTGGTTTGGGAAAGTAGTTTTCTGAATCTAAAAGCAAAGGTACTGAGGACGTAGACAAGGACCACAGAACAAACACATCATGGACTGACAAGAAGAGGGAGAGAGCACAGGGACTTCAACTGGGAGACACAGGTACACATCAGGGTAATCAACAAAACAGAAAGCGAAACTCAAAAAGACACAGAAAAGACAATTACAGAATAAAACAGGAATTAAAAATGACAACCATGTCACATTCAGACACATTTCAAGACCATTTCAAGATTTTATTCGCGATCAGAAAGTGCTCAAATTAACCCACGTTCTACCAAATTTTAGCCTTTTTCCGTCACTTCTTGCAGTGTAAACGTCAGCAGTGAAAGTGTGGAGCTCTCTTCTGATTGAGAGTAGATGGTGCAGAGGATGTGGAGATGGAGTAATGAGCCGATGAAGTGGATTCTCTCTGCCTCTCGTCCACGTCAGGGGCCTCCACACGGTGCCAAAACCATTCTGCACGGATCACAACACCGAGAAATCAGGAAGTCAGAAAAATCAGACTGGACAGACCGGAGCCAAGAGGACGAAGGAGAAGGATGCAGGTCTCTCAGCACAAAACACCTGCAGTCTCTAAATGTTGAAAATAGATGTCCATAAATGTTGTTGAAGCGCGAGGGTCCTGCAGGTCCTAAGTAGCTCTGATACAGTTGTTGTTTTGTGTTAACATTGTTCTTGTTTTTTTTTCTGCCTGAGATGTTGCTGCAGTACAGTGTTCATGGTTTTACACTGGTCCAGACCAGAGCAGAGAGGATTCATGGTCCGAAACATACGGGTCAGATGAAAATCCGCTGGAGGAACGCTAACTTTTGGAAAAATGCCAATGAAGCATTTAGCATTTTACTTTGGACCAGAGCAGAGAAAATGGTCCGAACCAAGCGGCTACTCCACCCTGTGACCCGTTCTGCTCCACCCAGAGGCTACTCCACCTCTGCTGCTGTGTCCAGTCCTGCTCCACCCAGAGGCTACTCCACCTCTGCTGCTGTGACCTGTCCTGCTCCACCCAGAGGCTACTCCACCTCGGCTGCTGTGACCCGTCCTGCTCCACCCAGAGACTACTCCACCTCTGCTGCTGTGACCCGGGGGCCCCAGGCAAAAGAGTCTTTGGGGGCCCCGATACCGACCATATAACCACATAAAAAGGTTAATACTGCAGTAGATATAAATATATTATTTATTTGCATCATAAAGTTGAAACAGAATTGACAAAATACTAACAACAACAAAGATCAGCAGAACAACAATATTATGAAAACATAATTAACAACTAAACAATAAAGCTTATAAGTTGAGAACCTATAAGCTTTGCTTATAGGTTCTCAACTCTGTGACAATACTTCTTTGTAGAACTTGATCTAGAGCAGATTTTGTTTTTAACGTTATCTGGAGCTCATGCCAACTTTTCATCTTATTTATATGGGGTTTGGAATATTCATGCTCTTTTAAATGTGCAACAAGGTTTTTCCAGTTTTTAAGCCCTCCTTTAGTTAGAGCATTATTGTCCTTTTTGCCAAATATTTTGCAAGCAAAGCAAAAGACTGAATCGGTCGATTTTGAATATACTAGCCATGTTCGCTTTATTTTTTCACCATTTCTCATGACCATGTAATAATTTTCCTTTGTGAATCTCCGAGGATTTTGTTCATTGCTTTGAGGAAAAACAATATCCGTCACCTGAAGAGGACCTTTTTTCACCAGGGAACTCTTTTCACCATCATTAAGAACATCAGGCCACTGTCCAGGATCAGAAGATGTCAATCTTATTGGTGTTGCTTTTTCTTGGTCTGTGGATACCGTTTGAGCTGAAACAAATTTAAAAAACACATGAATTCTCAAAAGAAAAACACAATAACCATAAATAATCCTGATGTGATATCATTACTTGAACAAACACTATGTTTAGTCTCTTTTTACAGCCTTTACAATTACAATTGTTGCTAAAGATGGCTTGCTAAGTATGTCCATATTTACATTACTATTTATGTATTTTTAATTTACACATCTTCAAAATACAAACCAACTTAGATATTAATTTATTTTCAAGTATACCTCTTATATTTGTTTGAAATTATAGATATGGTAGATACTACAAAAGGCCATAGTGTGTAAAATTCAAGAATTTTTTCAAACTAAATATATTATTGCACTAATATCATACCTGGAGTGGGTGCTTGTGGTTCTGTTTGGTCCTCTTGGTCAATGGAGGTAGGCGACGAAATGTTGACAATTGCAGTATTGGATATAGCTGACTGCTGCTCACTGGAGAAAGCGCTGCTGTCCAGGGCTGTAGAGCTTGAGGGGGCAGTAAACCTTGGCGTGGCAGTACTTGGGGCTGTAGTAGTGTGTGTAGCGGCAGACTGAGCTTAAAGATAAGACAGTCATTAGACAGTCACTCACCGCTATCATGCTTTCTTTTCTTGTCTTCCTCTTTTTTGCGCTTTCGTTTATTGCTTCCAGAAGGATAACTTCTCTTCATTTGGTCGGACAACTTTGTTTTGCTTTGGGAGAAATGGCACGCTGCCTGCACGCTCCGCTCACCTCACCTCTGTCACTGACACACATGGGGGGAGGGGCGAGAGGAGCGGGGCCCTATCAGGGGATTTGAGACGGGCGGTCAAATTGCAACTCGTCACTGCAGGTACCTGTTGTGGCCTGTACAAGTCGACCGCTTGTGTCAAATCAGTCGGCCCTCGGGGGCCCCTGCCGGTTTGGGGGCCCCAGGCAGCTGCCTGCCTTGCCTGTTGGCACGGGACGCCTCTGGCTGTGATCCTTCCTGCTCCACCCTCAGACTACTCCACCTCTGCGGCTGTGACCCGTCCTGCTCCACCCAGAGACTACTCCACCTCTGCTGCTGTGATCCTTCCTGCTCCACCCTCAGACTACTCCACCTCTGCTGCTGTGACCCAGAGACTACTCCACCTCTGCTGCTGTGACCCGTCCTGCTCCACCCAGAGACTACTCCACCTCTGCTGCTGTGACCTGTCCTGCTCCACCCAGAGACTACTCCACCTCTGCTGCTGTGACCTGAAGCACTGTTGCTGATTATTACTATTGTTAACTTTATTGAATGATTTTATTTTTCAACTTTGTATGTATGTGAATTTTTATTTTTGCTGCTACTGGACACCTGAATTTCTCTGACGGGGATCAATAAAGAATCTATCACTTTATCTGTCCTTAGACCCTCAGACAGAAATATATGCGGGGAACTGATCCGGCCTCCGCATGGATTCTCAAATTTTCCTACTGGCTTTTTTTTAATCACCTTGTCGATGTAAGCGGTTCACAGGCAGGAATCTCCAACCTGTCGCTCACCAAAGGATTTAGAAACGAACAAATCAAATAATATACTTAATATTTAAGATTGCATTATTCATTCTCATTATTTATATATTAACAAATATGCGATGATAAATACTGACTATATCCAATAGCAGACAATATACAGCACATTTGTCCCAGGGAAAGGGAGTTTTAGCCTGAGTTTGGAGCCAGATGCAGGAGAGTCTAACAGGACGCTCGACAGCTTTCTAAAGTCCTCTAAGATCAATGATTTAGGGCTATATCAAAGTAAATTGACCTAATAATATAAGATAAACTTTGTAGTGTTGAGGGAAATAGGTTAAATATCTCATCGGTTGTGATTGAGTCTCCGTCTTTGTCCAGAGCCAAAGTTCAAACCCATTTGATGAACTCCGCTCATTGTCCGTCCTGATCCGTCGGCCGTTTAACACACCACCATGTGTCGGGTTCCTCTGGTGAAGCAGAGGTCAGCGCTCGGACTGACCCCCCCTCGCTCACCCCCTCCCTCACCCCCTCCCTCACCCCTCCCTCCCCCGCTCTAATGACCTCAGCCACCTCTTCAGCCGCCGCCACAATGGGAGGTCAACGAGGAGGAAGTCTAAAGTATTGTGTGTTTCTGTTGTCGGAGAATGGACGACAAGACAAACAGGCCAGGAGGTCCAGGGCAGGTCCACAGCAGGTCCACTGCAGGTCCACAGCAGGTCCCGGTCTGGTCCCGGGCAGGTCCACAGCTGACCCCTGACACCTCCTGGACCCATGGGACAGCGAGGCCAGCCTGGTAAACACTAGACTCAAAAATAGGGCAAGGTCCGGACCCATAACTGATTTTAAATATATTTCTACAAAAAACCACTTCAGTATTCATAGTAAAAATGTATATATATTTTTTTATTTTTTTTTTATTTCTCATTTAAAAACATGAAAATATCCAAAATTCCAAGCCTTCATTTGGAATTGACTCCTGATTTATTTAGACAAGCAACAGACTGGTATAAGGTTTACGGTTGGGAAGGGTCCGGAGGCATGGAGCCGCACTTTGCCCAGGTCTGCTCAAGAAACCAGAGTTAAAGCTGAGGTACCTACTGTAGATGTTTTTGTTTCACTAAAAAACATAAGAAGAAATTAAATTCTCAACCTCCAGCCTCAAAATCAGTAAAAACTTTTAACTTTTTCTGCAAACCTTAAAGTGTTTTATATAATGTTATTGTTTTATACTTGGTGGAGCTAAGGATAAGTTTGTTTTTTTAATTTATGTTTTAATTTACTTTGATAATATGATTGTTGTTTCAATTTAATTAAATTCAATTTAACTTTATTACAGACTCTAGGGCCAATTTAAAACAGACAGGAGAAGACCAAAGACATTTGATTGGAGCTGATTGGCTGGGGAAGGATTTTGTCTGTAATATATTATTGTGTCAGAATTCTGAACTCAAGGCAAGTAAAAAACCTAAAAATAATGTTCCTTGCAGCTGTTCGGTTTCCGGGCCTCGGCTCCGGTCGGCGCCGTTTGACCAGTGACATCATAAACACATCATTACTGTCAGAAACAAAGAAAGAACCACAAAAATATGTGCTTTTAACCGGCGTTTACGACAAAACACTGCCTCTCTCAAAGTGCAGGTCAAAGCTTCGGTTTGCTCCATGACCGGGACGCACACAAACACACACACACACACACGACACAGACACACACACAGACAGACGCACACACACACGCACAGACACACACACAGACACATACACACACACACGCACAGACACACACAGACAGACAAACACACACGCAAAGACACACACACAGACAAACACACACACACGCACAGACACACACACACACACAGACAGACAAACACACGCACTCACACACACACACGTTTTTGTTACCTGGTGGGTCCCTTTGACAGGGCCGTTCAGAATGGGACCCATAGACATCATCTTTTTTTACTGGGACTACTTTAAGTAATACAAAACAGTCAATAGAAAACAAACAACTATTTTTAAGGAATTTTATTTTAGATTTTTTTTTCGAATTGCAGTGATTCTATTTTTGACATAGAATTTAATGCCACTCCATGTCCGATGTCTAAGGTCATCTGGTGAGGCATTAATGCAGGCCAGGCCAGGCCAGGCCAGGCAGTGAGACTTCCCAGGGACCTTTCCAGTCTGTATGAAAGGCGTCATGGTCTTCTCCACAGCCTTCACCTCAGATGCAGACCATGGCTTTCTTACACGTTCTAGGGAGAGAAATAAAAATATATTAGCAATATACACTCCCAGGGTTAGGACCAAGCAGCCTGGCTGTAATCCCCCACCTGGTACACTTACCAGAAGGGGCACTGCCACTACCATGGGGTGCATCTGGATGAATGGTTGAAGGTTCTCCGCTTGAAGTTTCTTTTAGCCCGTCCGTTTGTGAGAGGATCTCTACTGCTCTCCCTGTCGCACAGAAAATAAAAATACAAGTGGCCTTTAGGGGAAAAAAATCATACATATTTTAATAATATCAAGAATTACCTTCAGGCTCAATTTGTATCTGGTCGAGGCTCTTTCCTTCGAATTCCGTCACTCTTCCCTGCTCCATGGCCATTAACACTTTGCTGATTTTGGCCAGCTCCAGTGTCCCCTCTGGTAGTCTGTAATATTGCCTGTGGATGCGAATGTCATGGCCGAGGAAGTTGGCAAGTATGTCCATCTCATTCTCTTTCATATTGAGAACTGTAGACATAGTAGCTATGTGCTTTCTAAGTTTGGTTGAGGATAGCATCTCTGGATGCACCGCACCACATTCTTTGGCTACCTGGCGTAGGGAGTCTGATCCCCTGACGTGGGTGTCTGCGCCCGGGCGGGAGAAGAAGTATGGGTTATGGTCAGAGATGGAACAGGCCCTTCTGTTCTCCACCAGCACCTCCATCCAAGCAATCATTTCAGGAGTCAAAAGAACCGGCACTTTCCGACTTCTTTTCCCTTTAATTTCAATGCGTTGAAAATGCTGACACAGCTTTTTCTCAAGTTGGGACAGTCCCAGAGCAATGTCAGAATGGATCCCAGTCTTACTTCTTAAGGTAAACGCTGTCAGTGGCATCTTTGAAACCTCACCTTCCCTTCTTCGATTGAAAATAATGACCTCACAAAGAGTCAAAACTGCCAGTTTAGACCAATGCTTAGACGTTGGCTCACTTATTAGGGTTTGCACATATTCAGGTCGACATACCTCTGTATGTGCATGCATGGCTCTAACGTCCTCAGTCAGAGGGAGCAGGTCCGGAGTGTTCCACTTGGCTTGCCGGAGGGTCTGTAGGGCAGCAGAAGAAACACAGACGTCCCACCTCTTCTCAAAAAGCAGCCGGCTTCGTTGGAGGTTTTTAATAAATAGTTCATCAACACAATGCTCCATTTTTGAGTCACATTCAAGAATATCTGCTAGCTTTCTGAGGCTATGGCCGAGTTTGAGGGCCAAGGATGGAGTCTTGTATTGATTTGTTTCCTCATCATATCCAGCCACAGACCTGACTGCATCAATCACATGGTTAAAGTTGGAAGGAATAAAGAAATCCTTCATTGTTTTCAGTTTCCCTGCGGTTTTTGCTTCGTTAATTAACCTACCGACTTCTCTCATTTTCTGCCTAATGTAATCATGCTTAGTCTTATCATGCCCGTGTTTTAAGTACAGGTGCTCTCCGAGTCTCAGAATCCCCTTTTCTGCTTTGACAACACCCGTGACCTCATCCTGATGCATTGCCCAAATTAAAGACCACAGCTTTTTGCTGATGCCCTCCGGTACAGGCTGGGCTAGGGAGCAGAGGGACTGGACCCTACTTCTACCTGGTTTAGCCTGGTTTAGCCTGGGCATCTTTCTGTGAAAGCCGGCACCTGGCCACATGCCTCCACAGCCACTTTCGCTTAAGCAATGCCCCACAGTCTATACAGTGCAAAAACTCACTGGATTTAACTGGGGAATTTGGCTGTTTAGCTGGGACTAAAGTTCCAATGCCGGCCTTTAAAACCTCAAAATTGTGCTCACGGTTTCCACTATTCCTGATCAAATCAAACTGAAGTTTACGTGCTTTAGATTTCACAGGTAGAGCCAATGCTCTGGCTACGTCACTTTCATTTCCATGTTTTCTAGTCAAATGACGGGACATTTTGTACTTTTTTACAGGTTTCTTCTTGACAGTTAAATCGTCAGAATCTGAGTCGACTTCATCAATTAGGGACTCTTGACTAAGCTGCACAAACAACAAATAATTTGTAATCATTCTATATAACAATTTGAAGTCATGACTTGTAGTCAGCACTTACCAGTGGTTTGTAAGCGTGCGCTTCAGTGTGCTGCTCTGTGATTGGCTGCAGCCTAATGAACCACACACTTGCACCTTTTTCTAGCCTGACACCTGATTTCCTCTGTTGTGCTGCTCCATGATTGGCTCCAGCCTGCTGGACTGAAATTGCCCCAGTGTGCCCCTCCTTGATATCCCGCAACCCACCACCAGGGTTCCGACACATAACACACTTTTTTCAGGAAAGTAAACCTCCAGGGGGCCTTTCCATATTTTTACAGAGACTGCATAAGGACCGTTAGAAAAGCATTACCCATTGATTATTAAGCTTGGACCAGTGGGGTCCGGTGTTCGGGCCCCACCACGTAAAACCAGTCCCCATGACGTGAGCGGAATCTCAGGTTATGGAACCCACCAGGAGTTGAAAACAAGTGCACACACACACAGACACACCCACACGCACAGACACACACATACACACAGACAGACAAACACACACGTACAGACACACAGACTGATAAAAACACACACACACAGACACACACACAGATACAGACACACACACACAGACACACAAACACAGACACATACACACACACACACACACACACACACACACAAACACACACACACACACACAGACACACACACAGACAAACACACACGCACAGACACACAGACAGATAAAATCACACACATACACAGACACACACACAGACACAGACCCACGCTCACACAAACATAGACACACACAGACACGCATGCACACACACACACAGACGGATACAACAGACACATAAAAACACACAAGCACACACAGATACACAGATACATACAGACAGACAGACACACACACAAGGACAGATAAAAACACACAGACACACACACAGATACAGACAGACAAACACACACACAGACACATAGACACTCACACACACACAGACACACACACAGACACACAGACAAACACACACGCACAGACACACAGACTGATAAAAACACACAGACACACACACAGATACAGACACACACACACAGACACACAAACACAGACACGTACACACTCACACACACACACACACACAGATAAAATCACACACGCACAGACACACACACAGACACAAACCCACGCTCACACAGACATAGACACACACAGACACGCAAGCACACACACACAGACGAATACAACAGACACATAAAAACCCACAAGCACACACAGATACACAGACACATACAGACAGACAGACACACACACACATACCCAGACACACACACACGGACAGATAAAAACACACATACACACACACGCAGAAGTCAATAGGAGTCAGAGTTAGCAAAACGTTGTCCATGAGCACTTCCCCACCGGGCTTCATTAAGCTGTTGATACTGTGGCGGGGAGGAGGCGGGTTGCTGCGTGAGTCTTTTAAGGCTTAATTTAGATGCCGCACATGAAGCAGATCCATTCACATGAAAGAATC